ACACTATTTTTTATATAAAATAAAAATAACAACAGAAAACTCTATATTAACCAGAATTTATAATTTGGTTTTTTATTACGTCTTATTTTATTTTAAGATATCAAATGTATGTTTCTCCCAGTTTTATTTATTTTTTTTTTTTTAAATTGGTGAAAAGTAAATGTAAAACTAAAATAAAATTTATAGGAAAGATAGTAATGACGTGTAAATAAAATGTATCGGCAAGGATATAATGACGTGTTATCAGGGGTCTGTCCAGACATTTTGTGAAAGGTCCGTTTTTATAAAATTGTGAAAAAATGACTCGTAATTTGGGAAGATAAAATAAACGTTAAGTCACATTCTTTCAACCAGGATTCGCTTTTGTGAATTTGTGCAAATAGGGTCCGTTATTGCAAAAAAAACTTTTTCAAGGAGTTTTTAATTGTAAAGACATACAAGATTATGCTCAACACTCTAAAATTATTATAATAAAAATTAAATTTTAAAAAATAAACAGCAATTGCTGCTTTTAAATTCGAGATGCAACATACAATTATTTGATATTTAGCATATACTGCTGAATGCAGAATATTAATTTCGGACGAATAAAGGAAGAAGCGTCTGCCGAAAACAAAATTTAGTTCGTTTACTTCTGTCTTTCTCCCCCCCCTCCCCTTCTGGGAAGGGTTTATTCGATTAACAAAACAATAACGAAGATGAGCAAATTTGTGAAGGGTCTGATTAAAGGATAAATTATTTTGTGAAAGGTCCGTTTTTAAGTTTAAATATTTTGTGAAGGGTCCGTTTTTATGAAAATATGTTTTGTGAAGGGTCCGTTAACGGACCCAAATTTCTTCTAAACAGACCCCTGGTTATAAAAATAATCTTATATAAGTTGATTTGGATCCAAAAATCATTATGTATAACTTGAAAATTGAATATATTTTTTCACCCGTGTGTTTGAAGAAAAAGTAGTCATACTAACAATTTTATTATATTTTATTCTAATATTTTTTCTTTTTGTGGATAATTTAATAATATATTTATGTTATTAAATTATATAATTATGTTTTAATTTACTTTACATTTAATTTACACGTTATATAATTATGGTGACAAGTGAACTGAGTTACAGTACTGAAAAAATACGGCTTTTTTAAAATTTGATTTCTCAGAAACTATTCTACCGATTTCGTTCAAATTTTGTACTTTAGAATCGAATATAATATTCTTTAAAATTAAGTAAAAATATGTATACTTTACTATTTAAAATTTTTTTAACTATTTATTTTAACTAATAATAAATTGTAATAAAAAATTATTTTTCCATTATTTTACATAAACGAATTATGAAATTGTGTAATTTTTTTTATTTGCTTAAAAAGTTCACGAAATATAATGAAATGTGCCAAAACTAAAAATAACATTAATAAAAGTTCCAAACGTTCGACCCCCTCCTGACCAAACTATTGGGACCATAATTTTCCAGAATATGACTACCCCGCATATTTCGAGGGTCACAAATCCAAATCTGTGGAAGAAATGGTATGTTTATTCTAAGAAACTTCATTGTGCTTGATTTCGAAACGTTAAATATCGTCTGCACTAATTAATTGGCATATATAGAAGACGAAGCCCTTGAACCATTAGGATCAGGTCATAGTACATGAAAATCCGTACATTTGAACAAAAGTTATTGTAGGTGTTTCGTTTACTTCTCTGTACTGTACAATATTTTTCTAATGGAATGTGAAAATATTAAAAAGAAACTAAGGAAAAATTTATTGCTTATTTCTAATAACCTATAGCAACAAAGATACAAATAATATTTATTTGTTGTACTTACTTTGTATTTACATTGAAAATTTACTTTGAGTAACGAAACAGGGAATAGAACTGGCATTTTATACTTTCAAATTAAGCTGTTTGTCGTAATATTTAATTAACTAGGAGGCTTCGCCCCCTGCTCGCTGGCGCTCTCCAACCCCCGGTACTGCTTTCGCAGTTCATTTCGGATTGCTTCGCAATCCAATGCTCGCTTTGCTCGCTCATTGGATACGTTCTTAACGTCTAGCTTTTGTATACTTTTTTGAATACTGAAGTTCCGAAAACTTTTCACTGCAGAAAATTCTAAACCTGTACATTTCAATATTCATTTGAAATTGCAAACAGTTCACATATTTTTCTTAATCACACTATTCTAAATTTCAGTTGTTGAGAAAAGTAACTGTTGTAAGTTTTGTTTTAAAGTCTTTCCCACCAGAGGGCTAAAGCCATGTGTTGTAAAACAATATGAAATAGTA